CGAAGTGTTCCAAGCAACAGGATTCGGAAAAGCTTACTTCCAGAAGGTAGGGTTGAATGCGATGGCAGCAGCGGATACTAGGCGTTCACAGTCAGAGGCCACGTTTATCACTGTGCCGGCATGTTCCAGTACATACTCAAGAGACTCTTTGAGTCAAAATCGACCAGCTTCTGGTTAGCGAAAGACATGATAACACGGTGTTTCTGGAAGACGTAAGCGAGGCTCGTTCGATCGTAGTACAGGAGAGATGGTTTTTTTTTTTTCAACAAATTTGTTTACGTGGAGCGTTAATTGTTGAGATTCCTTCCGCAAGCTCGTGATTGCAAGCATGTGACGCTAATGGCCGTAAACATCACTGGCGTCATAGGCGAGACGTGGGGTTCGACTTCTTTGGGGTTCCGGGGCGTTCTTGCCCTCCATGGCCGGGATGAGCCAGCGGCAACCCCACAATTAACCCCAACTGAACCCCTGAATGAGATTCTCCAATGTCGCATCTTCAACACACCAAGGCCAACGGGGGCCTTTGAGAACAGATCGCAACACGATAGCTTCATGTGTACTTCTCAAGCTGGACTTGAGCTTGCACCCTCTTCTTGCTATCAAGGGCATTGAGTCTGGAACTCGCTGCAGACCATGGCTCCCAAATCACGCAAACAAGGAAAAGGCTTGAAGACCGCTCCTGTTGCACAGCCAGCACCAGCAGGGCCAGAGGTAGACACAGATACCCTGGGACCAACGCCAGCCTTACCGACCACCAACCCCACGCTGTCAGGTTTCACGCCAGAACGGTTTGAGGCTGAGCTCAAAGCTCTGGCAGCAAAGGCTAAGCAGGAGACTTCCACCAAGGCCACCACAGACCAGTTGTTTGTCTATCTTAGGTCCCTGACCCTCATCACACTTCTGGCCATATATGTGGTCGTTTTCGAGTTGTCTCTATCGCCAGTATATGGCTCGATCCCGCCAAAGATACACGACTTCAAACTCCTTGTGGTGACCTGCTTCGTCGCCTGGTCTTCCAACCTCTGGCTGCAACGGACACTGCCAGTGAAACCCCAGCTTCTCATTCCTGTCGTGGCCGCATACATCCCGGTCGTACAATTCTTCTTGTTCAAGATCAGTAGCACGCTGGGCGCAACATGGGGACCTGCCATTACTGAGAGCCTGACACTTGTTCCGTTGATGTTCTTGTCAGTTGCCTGCACCGCAACATATCTAGATGGCGCTGATCTGAGTCGTTTGCCCAAGTCGGTAGCAGACTCGGTCCCCGGTCTGGGGTCGGCGTTGGTATATGTGGTAACGGCTGGAATGGCTTCAAGTTGGATACAGCGTCACATCGGCACGGCATGGTACTTGACCCGTCTCGGAATGCAGGCCATTCTCACGGCGTCGTACAGCCTGTTTGCGCCATCCAGGCTTTTGTTATTCGCTATCCCTGGGTTACTACACACGGCCATCTTCAACAATCATATGCCCACTTCACTAGCCTTGTCATCCCTCAACAGCACACTCAACGCACATGAGTACATGATTCTCGACCGGCGAGAATCGCTGACAGGTTACATCTCTGTAGTTGAAAGCATAGCCCAGGGTTTTCGAGTGCTTCGATGTGACCACAGCCTGCTTGGCGGCGAGTGGACTAAACTCAGGACGCTGCCCCAGTTTAGGAAAAACCAAGTTGCCGAACCGATCTACGGTGTTTTCGCTATGCTCGAGGCAGTTCGGCTGGTTGAAGTGCCCGATCCAGTACTGGATGACCAGGCAAAAGCCCTCGTCATCGGCATGGGCATAGGCACAACTCCCTCCGCACTGGTAGCCCACGGGATTGGTACCACGGTGGTTGAGATAGACCCAGTCGTGCGTGATTTTGCCCAGCAATACTTTCATCTACCGAGTAATCTCAGCACCGTCGTGGAAGATGCTGTGACGTATGCATCTCGGCTAGCATCCAGCACTGAGACGGCATCCTTCGACTACATTGTGCATGACGTGTTCACAGGCGGTGCTGAGCCAGTTGCTCTCTTCACCTTGGAGTTTCTGCGAGACCTGGCCGCTCTACTCCGGCCAAACGGTGTCATTGCCATCAATTACGCCGGCGACTTTGCCCTAGCCTCTCCAGCCGTGGTTGTCCGGACTATACGGGAAGTCTTCCCCTCGTGCCGCATCTTTCGCGAACATCCTCGCGACGAGGCGTTGGTCGAAAAGACCGGCAGCGACTTTACCAACATGGTCATTTTCTGTACCAAGCTCAGCGAGCCCATCAGTTTCCGCAAGCCCACGCAGCGTGATCTACTCAACAGCCCCAGCAGAGAAGCCTTCCTCTTGCCTAAGAATGAAGTTAAGGATGAGGACTTCCTGGTCGGCCGAGAGGAAGGCGTGCTCTTCAGGAACGATACCGATAAGTTGGAAAAGTGGCATCAGACGAGTGCGCTGGGGCACTGGGCGATCATGCGCACTGTGTTGCCTGATGCTGTATGGGAGAACTGGTGATAGCACCAAGCTGAGCGTGGGGTTTCCATCCATCCATGCGGTCAAATGTATCCAGGTGCAATGTTGCCACTGTGCTTCCAATTCCCTGGTAAGCAGGGCTATACAGTTGATCTGGGTAACACATACGTCCATTTGTACGAGGAAAACAGCTGTGCCGTTTGTTGTGCCGCTGTTTCAGGCGGTTTGTACGCCTCTTTGGGACTCAGCTTCGTTTGGTTATCGTGGCTCTGGTGACACAGGTGGGCGGGATGCAATGTGATTGCCCGTTGGTCTTGTGGTGTAACTCCAATGCCGCCCGAGGATGGGATGGATATTGTTTGTTGGCAAGTGGTGTCCTTTGTCGGGTATCTATATCTTGGCTCCTCTGCCATCAACTCACAGATGCTTCTTTTTTCAACTCTCATGACTTGACCTTTACTCGCTTTCACAATCATTGCAGTGAGCCTGTCTCACGGGACTTCAGCAAGATGATCAAACGTATCTTGGCCATTATGATTCTGGCAATCATTGTCCGCAAGTTCAACCGCAAACGCTTTGTATATGTCTAACTCAACAGGCCAGCATCGCCCATACGCGCGGACCCTCTCCCACCCCGCACGCCTACCTCATCACACCGCTCCCCCCCCCCCTCAGATCACCAAGACAACATCTAACTCCGCTGATATACCCTCACACGTTTGACGGTCTTTGAACACGCTGCAGAGAATGCAAAGCTTTACGAAACAGACAACCTTATGTCAACTCCAGTTCAGTTCTCTTTACCCTCCACCGTCTCGGCGACAGCTGTCACTCAGGGTCCACTCACCGCGCTTCTATACAACTGGTGCGGACGGAGACATAAACCTTAGCCCAGGAACCTATTCCTCATCAGTCTTCAACTTCCCCGGCGCGCTACTCGCCCCTTCCACTGCATGCCTCCTCCGCTCCTCATTGCCCTCCCGCCTCCACTCCTCCACATCCGCCGGCAGCCCCTCCAGCTTATTATACCCTCCCGCAACCCCCTCTCCGATCTCCGTCCAGACCGGCAGCACCCCCGTCCACACCCTGTTCTTCAACTCCTCATCCTCCAAATCCGCCTTGTCATCCCCCGGTCCACCCGTGCGGATCTTCGCACTCCCCGCCGAGATCTTGACCTTCAGCACGGACGTGCTCGCCATCTCACCCTTATTCGGCGGGGTGCGCGTGCTCTGCCAGCGGCCGGGGACGACGCCGTTGGTGATCTTCTCCATGGCGAAGAGCTTCTCCTCGGTGTCGGAGACGAGGGTGGCGTGGCCGAAGAGGGTGGCGGAGCGGTAGTTGTAGGAATGGGAGTTGGGGGTGAGGGAGAGGACCAGGCCGTCTAGGTGGGTGGCGGTGATGGTGAGGGGGAGGCCGACTGGTCCCTCGGGAGAGGTTTGGGCGGTGTCGTTGCCGGGGGTGGAGGAGCGGGAGAGGTTGATGAGACGGGAGGAGATGTAGCCGTGGAGATACAGGTCCTGCACGTCGGTTATGTCGGCGGAGGGACGGGTGAAGGAGCCTAGGGCGCCGATCATGGGGAGGGTCACGGGGAAGGGGGTGGAGGGGTCGGTGAAGGAGACGTGTAGGATGGGGGAGGTGGAGACTATGGTGTGAATTGTCTTGAGGGAGTAGGATGCTATGGTCATGTTAGTTCTGAGATGAACCTAAGGGTGTCGACAGTGAGGATGATGCGTACCGCGTGTATCGTAGCGTTTGACCGTGCTGTACGGCTGCTTGGGATATTGGAGGTCATAGGTTGGCATTTTGAGAAGGTCTGATTGCTAATCAATTCTATGTTGAGTATATTTCAAAACATGGAACGAATTGGGTATGTTTAAGGACTTATAAGCTACACCTATGAGTAGCCTTGATTGAGTCATTGAATATGTTGTTGTTCTAATTGGTGGTATCCCCGCGGATAACCAGCCCCGCTTAATTGTTCGCAAGGGCGTGGGAAGGTAAAGCCAACACTACAAAACGTTGTCTGCCCGGACAGTTTTATGATTCGTGGCGAGATGATGTATAGGACTTGATATTCGAGTACAGACGTGGTTTACGCACCGTCAAGAGCATAAGGTACTAAACTAAACAACGCTGTCAAGCCTTGTGATTTGTGATGGAGTTGACGTGAAGCATTGTAGGGTAAGCATTTGTGAAGATGGTTAAGTTACACCGCAATAAAGTTCAGACCAGTCTCGAGTTTCCTCTCGGAAAACTTTAGTTCCACATTACTCTCCGCGTTTTGGGGATTAGACGTTGAGCTTGATAGCTAAAGAATAATGTAATATCCTTCCAAGCATTGGATTAGTAGCTATACAAGTTGGTAAGCAGGTGATTACTTATTTATATTATGTCGACCGTGCTTATAGCTTGATAGAGTCTACACTTTCCTACTTTGAGATATCTATCCTTTAAATCGTGGAAGGAAGAAAGCCAGTACGTTTAAAGTGAGCCACAGGTCCTCAGGCTCTGCCTTAATACACGGACACAGATTAAACAAGCATAAAAATTAAAAAAGGACCGATCGTGGGTCGAACACGAGACCTTAGGATAACTGCTGTTGTTTGGACTGCAATCCCACGCTCTACCACTGAGCTACCGATCCACACACTTTATTTGATCTCATTATAGACCTCAAGACTGAACGCAAGACAAACTGCCGCTATCGGAATAGGAGCCTGTCAAAGACCTGACGCTGAAGTCCGTACGCATCCCAGTCAACCAAATTCCATAATATTGGAATGTCCCCAAGGAATGGACTCTTGAGCGGAACGTGGGGGCCGTGCAAGTCCCGGCATGTCTGTCTCGCTAGAGGAGGTATCCTCACCAAGCGATCAAGGCCTTGAGCAACTCGGCATGCACATTACTTATTGACATGACTTCTCGTAGTGGTTCCTCAGCTTTGTTTGGTACATCTGATTGATCCGTGAGGCGGACTTTTTGGGATTAGATCTGGCAGACGTCGCCCTCAGTGAGGATGTAATACCAGCTGTAAAGATTGATGAGCCGAGCGTACAGGTCCACAATCTCATAGATCTTGACCCTCTTCCTCCTCTCCAACAAATCCTGCATATCCTCTTCCTCCTCTTCCTCCTCTTCCTCCTCTTCCTCCTCTTCCTCCTCTTCCTCCTCTTCCTCCTCTTCCTCCTCTTCCTCCTCTTCCTCCTCGCCCTCCTCGCCCTCCTCGCCCTCCTCCCTAGTCCCTAATTGTTTGGACTTCTCCGCCATCATGACAACCTCCGCTCTCACGACCTTTACACAATTCGATTCCTCCTCTTCCGGCTGATCTTCGTCCACCAAACTTTCCAAGCTCTCTTCATCCACGTGCAAATAGATGAAGTACTGAGGGCATTCGAAGCGCAAGTGGTTGGAGCTCCAATTTCTCTTCTGTTCACTGACCCACGCAGTGAAACGTGTGCTCGTCTCGACGAGGCCAGCACCCTCTAACGACGGATCCTCAAAGATGGTCTATTTCAACTTCTCGTAAATCTCGAGCATGTCCCGCGCTTCAGAATACTCGCGGGTCTATCGCTTGAGACGTGTAATGAGCTCATCCCACCTCTCTTGGGAACCGTAGGTGCACCGGAAGACAGCGAAGCCCCACTCGTCTGATTTAGTTTTTGCGAGGTCTTTGGCGATGGCTTCACCCGCTTCTCTGTATTGGGGGAAGCTGTATTCTCATTGTTACTGAGATGAGGTTGGCGAAGCAGTGGTGGAGATTAGGTTAGACGACCTGGCAAGGACGCTTGGATGGGATCGGAGCAAGTATGATGAATGGCAAGGAATACGTGACCCGCTGTGTAGGATGACAGTAGATAGGCTGTGCGTTCTTTCAGTTATAAGCAAGGTAGTATAAGAGTGCCTTGTTTCGTGGCTGGATGTCAGGAACATGAGAATTTTGCGATCGCATCATGTAGTGGGGAGAAGCAGTGTTGCTGCCTGCAGGCTAGTCTACCTAGATTAGCGCTAGACAACCTGCCGAGACGAAGAATAGGAGAAGCCGGGCTCCTACACCTGGCCGGCGTCGAAGCTGTGGACTTTCGGGTCTCGTAGAGACTGGCACTTGCATACACCGCGGTTGATAGCCGCGAAGCTTGTGTGCCGTGAGCTCAATGTGCTCCTCTGACCTCCGTTACGAGGACTTCAATCTGTGCACCTGGAGTCCGCAACCCCAGTAAAGAAACCTGCGCCATGCTGGTGAGTTCAAGGTCGGCAGTCAAAGTCACATACATCAGTCAAGTTGATTCCAGCTGGACATGAGCTTAGAAAGTCCTGTACTGATACTCGCTGGTTGTGGCTTGTTGCATAAAAGGTTCCGGCGAGAACCCCAAACTTCGCTGCGCCAAGCCCCAGCAAACCACCCTGCCAAAACCACTCGAGTTCTCAAGGGTACACACACCACAACACAACGTTTTCACAATTGCCCTGCCGGCACACGGAGACTCCCTATCACGCCATACATTTCAGATTAAGCCTGTTGCTGATAAGGCACAACCACCTGCTCAAATTGGCAAGACTACCGATGTCAGTAGGCAAGATCGGATGAACGCCACGCTGCCGATCAACCGTTGGTTACCCTGTCTGAACCATGGCGCCGTCCGAGGGGATAAGGTGTACGGGTTCCCGTCAATCATCATCGGTGCGCCGTAACTGGCAAGTGTTCAATACAAAATACAGGGTCTGTATGGCGTGCCTGTACTATATACTGCGGTTAATCTATTCAAGGCGGGTTCCTGCTGTGCCAACGTAGCAGCGAGTGACACCTTCCAATTCGCTGCGGTGACGACAGATGCATCCGGCCAGGCACATAAAGGAGCCGTCCAGCTCGGCTCTGGAACACAACCTCGTCGTCGCAAGATAACTCCTTGGATCTGAGAAGACAACATGGGGCTCTGCAAGCTGCTCAAGGCGATTGCCCTGGTCGCATCGGTCGTCAGTCCTGCAGTCCACGGTCGTGTTCACGAGAAGCTGTCGGCAGTGCCCCACGGATGGTCTCACAAGGGCTCTCCGAACCCCAAAGAAATCAACGTCTTCACCATCGCCTTGCACCGAGAGTTTGAAGGCCTGGAGGGAAGACTACTGGATGTCTCCACGCCCGGAAGTCCAAACTATGGCAAATGGCTCGACAGAGACGCAGTGGACGCTCTGTATCCGGTGTCGTCGGGCGCCCTGGAAAAAGTCCTAGCCTGGCTTCGCTCCCACGGCATAAAGAACTACCAGGTCAATGGGGCTTTTATCGACTTTGCCACGGATCTGGGAACAGCCGACTCTGCACTGGGTGCCTCATACCAGCGCTTCAGTAACAACGGGGTGGTCAAGTTGCGCACACTACAGTACTCCATCCCGGATGAACTGCAGGATGCGGTCGCTTTTGTTGATCCAGGGACTTTCTTCGGCCGTAATGTCAAAACTCCTGCGCCCTTGGAGCAACGCTCGCCATTGATTCCCACACCTACCAAGACCAAGCGAGGGTACAACGACAGCACACCTACCAATACCACCGTGGTTGCCTCCTGTGAAACTTCGATCACACCCAAGTGTCTTCACCAACTCTACAACATCGGAGGGTACCAGGCTGATGTCAAGTCCGGGAGTAGGATTGGCTTTGGCAGCTTCCTGAACGAGTCCGCACTGTACTCAGACTTGGCAGGCTACGAGCAGTTCTTCGGCCTTCCCAGCCAAAACTTCACCAAGGTCATCATAGCCAATGCCAGCAACAGTCAGGACCCGACAACAGGCAATTATGGCGAGGCCGACCTTGACGTCGAGAACATCGTGGGCATTGCGCATCCCCTGCCGGTCACCGAATTCCTGACTGGCGGATCTCCGTATGTTATTCAGTACTTGAAGTGGCCGTCCAAGTTCTAACCTCACTGTCTACAGACCCTTCGTCCCAACGGTGGGCCAGCCCACACCAGCAGACAACAACAACGAGCCGTATGTTCCGTATTACCGTTACCTCCTATCCCGTAAGAATCGAGAGCTTCCACAAGTAATCTCCAACTCTTACGGTGACCAGGAAGACGTAAGCCACCTCCTCGTTTGCCTTGAACGAGCCTTACTAACCTCTTGCACAGGGTGTCCCAGAAGCCTACGCCCGCCTGACCTGCAACATGATAGGCCTCCTCGCCCTACGAGGCATCACAACGCTGTTCTCCTCAGGCGACAGTGGCGTGGGTGGTAGCTGTCTAGCCCCCGATTTCAAGACCGTGGAATTCGACTCGGCCTTCCCCGCCTCCTGCCCCTTCGTCACGGCCATTGGAGGCACCCAAGCCGCCAGACCCGAGATTGCCTGGCTTGACTCCTCTGGCGGGTTCTCGCGCTACTTCTCCCGCCCCAGCTGGCAGCAAGCCACCGTCAACGAGTACATCCGGACCCAGGTGTCAAGCGAGACATACCGCTATTATGGACAGTACACCAACTGGAAGGGCCGGGCTTATCCAGATATCTCCGCACACAGCTACAACCCCAAGTTTCAGGTCATTTACAATGGTGTCCCGGCCGGTAGTGGTGGCACGAGTGCATCTGCTCCGGTTGTCGCGGGGATTGTGGGACTTCTCAACGATGCCAGACTGAGGGCCGGCAAGAGTACCCTGGGTTGGCTGAATCCGTTGATATACAAGTATGGAGCGGGCTACGACAAGCAGGCAGCGTTCAAGGATATCACAGGCGGTTACACCAGGGGCTGTGACGGGTCGGATGGTGGTGGACTGGTGCTTGGGGCTAGGTGGAATGCCACGAAGGGGTGGGATCCCACCACTGGCTTTGGAGTTCCGGACTTTCAAGCCTGGAAGAAGCTGGTACTTAGTCTGTGATCGTGGGTTCAGAGACTCGTGTGTCTCAAACGCGCTTCGGTCTCGCTGACGTTACGGCTGTCTCTTTGAGCATGATACACATCGCGCCTGGCACGGTTAAGGCACGGGGCTGAGCTAAAGACTGCGACGGTTACCTTTTTGTGACAAGGCGTGAGTACTCTGTTACCACAAGTCGTACAAGTACAAAGGGGGTTCCTTATCCCGTCCACGCAGAAAGCACTTCGTTAAGCTAGTAACTCCACGGTCTTGCACAAAATCCTTCCCGCCGTGCTCGGAATTTGTGCTGGTCACTCATGTAATCCTGGTAGGCCTCCCTACCTTCTGAATCAGCGTCATTCTGTGGATCCGCCATGAGCTGCTCCCTCTTCAGACACGTGCAAGGATTGCAAGAGTTTGCGCAACCGTGGGGTGAGTCTCCATCGATGCTCTCCATTGTGTTCGATTTTCTCCCAGGTACGGATATCGTGACTGTTCGCTTCGTCAAATATCTTGCACGTAGCCACATCAGAATGCACCGGTCGAAGCAGGGTTATGTAGGTGTATTGCTGTAACGCGTTGCTGGGCAAGTCAGGGACAAACTGGCGGACACGGTGCCATTCTAGCCCCTCGCACTTAACGACCTCGTTTGTGGCTGTTGCAGCACCAACGACGTTATGAACCCAGACATCGTTACCGTCCTCATCACCGTTGTGATGGTCATCGCTGTCGTAATCGTCATCTTCATCGGTTTCGTCACTGTTGCCGTCAGGGTCGTATGGCACACGGAACAAGACGTCGGGTATGCTGGTCT